AATATTAATAATATTAACAAAATGATGATGCTAATACATAAAACGTGGTCTTTATCCTTCTGATGTTATTAAGAGAAGGGCAACTTTCTGTCTCATGAGGTCATTCAAAGGGAAATTGGACATACATCCTTTCATACTTAACGAAATACCCTTAAGGATTCTGCAACTGAGTCCATTTTTGTGTGTGTGATTTTTGCTGTGTAATCCCTGTGAGGCTAAAGTTAGAGCTACAGTGTTTAGCTGTCCCAAAGGTCAGATCATTTATCTCTTTTAACCTTCACTAACATTTGTTAGGTGGCTTTTCCCCTGGAATGTCTGCAACCCTTCTTTGTCTTCATCTGTGGAGACCTTGTTGATTGAACTCCATTGTTCCTTCCGCTGGAAGCCCACCTTCAAACTCCCAGGCACAGTTTGTTGACCTTCCTGTTGACTTCTAGAATGTTTTGATCACATACCACTTATACTGAATTATGGTCAGCTAATCACCCATCTTTCTGCTGAATTGTAACTCACTCCAGTGCACAAACTGTGCAGTCTTTCTAACCAGTGAAGAAAAGGCACCCAATTTAGTTACACACTGAATCCCACCCCCGTGATGTCAGTAACAAAGGCTTCTTCTGTGAGTGCTCCAAAGGGTCCTCCTGGTACTTTGAGTGACGGACCACGTGCACCCTCAGACCGTGCATGTGCCTCTTAAATTGAATTTCAAATATTGGTGCTGAGAGTCCCAATTTTATTTTGATTGGGAAGCTGAGGGCATGGAGGAGGAGAGTGAGGGATGCCAGGGAGTGAGGGGCCACAGCGAGGGGGCGCACTCCTGCCCGTGGAAGGGAATCCTTCCAGCCTTCGCAGGACCCACAACTATAGCCAAAGCTGTTGGTGATCCACTCAGATGCCCTTGGATCCCCTTCACCGCTCTGGGTACCCATTTCTGTGCTTCCACGTGTATTACTTCTAATCGACCTGAAGCCCCTACCAGCAGCCCCCTAAGACTGCACTGCTTTGCGGATGCAGAAAGCCAAGCCCTTGGGAGGCAGCATGCCCATCGCCCCTTCCACCCTTAGCCCAGGCTGCCTGGGCCAAGGGCATAGAAACCCAGCTCCCTGACATACGATGCTATTTTCACTCCAGAACTCCTTCCAGAATCAGGCAGGGCATGGCCTTGTCCTCAAATCACACTCTTGCTTGAGTGTGCTTCCCAGGAGCACTTCTCTAATTAATTACATGTAAATTTTTGTCTCAGCGTCTGCTTCGAGAACCTCTACTCCAAGAGAAGATTTCAACTTTGTGGCTTCCTAAGATAAGGTTCTCCCTGGACAGGCCAAAGGCAAGCAGGTCCCCACCTGAGGCCTGCAGAGTCTTGCAAGGCTTGAAATGGGTGTCCTTCATTCTCTATGGCTCACCTACATGCCAAGGGGACACTGTCCATGCTTCTGGGACAGCCTTGGTGGGAGGGAACTGGAGGCAAATGACCAAATCCTGCCTGGTCTGTGGAGGACTCTTTAAGCTGATGTGGGTCGTAGGAGCCTTTGATGATGTTTTAAAAACACATTCCCCCAAATAGTTCTACATCTAACCCAACTTAAGTAAATCTAGTTAAAGATAAAAGTGTATTTTTATTCCCTCTCATCACACTTCAAAGTTTTTTGTCTTGATTCAAGCCAAGATGAGAATTGGATGCACTACAGCATTTTTTTTTTTTTTTTCGTTTTTGGAAATTATTCTCGGGAAACGGCTCTCTTGAAAAAGTTCTTGTAATCTTTTCTGCCCAGGTTTCAGACATCTTTTTAGAACTTGGGGTAAAAAATCCAGGCTTTAGATGTATATTTTATTTAAATTTGACACATGCAAGAATTTTGCTTTTAATTAATAGGGGAGAAAGAGAGAGAGAGAGAGAGAAAGAGGAAAAGAAGAAAGAAAGGTGACTTACTAAATAGTCATTCATGTTTGTTTTTATCAGTTACAAAATGATTAACTGTTATTTGAAGTACTCTTATATGGTGGATTCCAGGCCCTACTCCTTAGAATCAGGTTGTGAAGCTAAATTTTATTCATGGGGTGAATTAGAGATTGAGTGACATGCACTATTTTTTGTTAAGTTTAATTGTTTGTCTTATTTTCCTCATTAGCCTCAGAAATTTCCAGAAACACTTAGATCATTCAATTATTAAAACATGTAAAATAAAGTCTGTCCTTGGTGACAGACTTTAAGATGTATAGATGCTTATTCTAGAACTTTCTAACTCACCTCCTCACACTTTGACCACACGTGTATAATGCCTCATCTCCTTTTGTGAATCCTGTCAGATCAACAACCTCAATACCTCATTGTTGCTTATCGCCAAATGAGAACAGGTCAGCATCACCAACATGAAGAATATTGGCTTCCCATTTAAATTATTTTATGTATTCAGACTCCTCTGGACTCATTTTCTTCTCTCATCACTTTCAAGACTGCTGTGAATGAACGTGAGCTCTACTATGCATGGCCGTGCAAGAAATAAAACTTGCCAGAGTATTAGGCCATAGTTATAATTCATGCTGTGTATTACTTGATACTCAAAGGAATCTACACATGCATATGTATGCTCACACAATAGGCTAATTTGAGAAAAATGTAGCCTAATGGAAAATGCATGGCCTGAGAGCGAGAGGGGCTATGCCGGGCCCCTCCCTCCTTCTTCCCAGCTCTGTAGCTTTGAGTGCATCGCTCGCCTTCTCTGGTTTTCGCTTTCGCACCCTTAAAATGCAACTAATCATGGCTTTTGGGCCTGTGTGCCACATTAATATCATTACTGAAAGAGCTTTTTAAATGGAGAGAAAGCACTCAAGTGTTAGTTTACTAATTATAGATGACATTTCAAGTATTAATCAAACCGAAGACGATAAGAATTAAAGTTCAACCGTAACAAATTCAACACTCCATTTAGCATCTTCTATCAAGCTACTTGGCCAGCATTTTTTTCTGAGCGGCTATGCCATGCCAAGCGTCCCTCAAGAGACACATGGTGGGCAAGACAGGTGTGGCGGAGCTCTGAAACAGGACACGCAGGACACGAGAAGTTGTCGGGAGGACGTATGCCATGCTGAGTGGCTTTCAAAGTAGACGGGAATATGAGACGCAGGGCTGGATTGGGACCATGTCAGGTAAGGACATTAAAAATGACATCCTGGAGGACATACCATTTGGGTTAAGACCTGAGCAGAGATCACGAACCAGGCGGATGAAGAAGATCTGAGAATGTTCCGGGTGGAGGGAACAGCATGAGCAAACCGTTTGAGGGAGCGTAGGATGGGATTTTGAATTCTGGGTTTTCCCTTTTTGTTTTTCTCCACCTGTGTTTATTGGTCTCACCTGGGACTGTCAGGGTGTCCCTGATGAGGGCGACCTGGGGCTATGGCTCGGGAGTAAGACTGCCAGCTTTAAAAGCCTGAACCTTGTATGGCTTCTTCAGTCTCTCAAGCCCTGGGCCTCGGGGGGGGGGGGGCATTGTCCCTGAGTAGCCAGCGTCTCTGAGGGGCCACCATCTTCTCCCAGGAGCAACAGGGAAGGACACCGATACACCTTTCTCGCTGAGGACACAGGGAAAGGGAATGGCTTGTGTTGGGGCCTTGGGTCAAGGGAGAGGGAGGAGAAATGAGGAAGCCTGTCGCCTTCCTCCGCTGACCCCAGGGCTCGGGGCAGGGGACGTATCCCCCCCTTCCAGCAAGTCCTGTCACCCACTTCCCCTCCAGTTTAAAGCAGGTGTGTCCATCTGGCGCAGGTGCCTGTGCCGGAAAGAGCTGAGCGTCTCATCAGCTGGCCCCTTTGCTCGCCTCCAAGCTGACCTTGAACCAGGGCAGGGGATCTTGTTGGAGAAAGCGCCTGTGGGAAGTCATCTTCTGTTCTAGAACGGACCGGGGTCTCCATGCACTCTGGCCACGGCAGACTGGCGACCCACATTGACTCGGACTGGCCTCTGGGGAGGAGACACAAAACTGCATTCAAGGGAGAAGCTCGCCGCCTCCCTTTCCAGGCTGAGAGACGCCCCCTCAGACTCCTGCTTTAAGGATGGAATTCTGACTGTTTCTCATAAAGTGCTGCGCTCTGGGCGTGAAAGCTGGAAACCAGATTCCCACACAAGCACCCGATCCCCGTTTTGAAAATCCAGCAGAACCCAACTTTGCACATCTGTCCAAACTCTTGACACTTTTTGATCAAAGAAAACAGCTTGCAGGAAAAATCAACATGGCCTTAAGGATATTGAGCTAAAAACACAGTTTCCCCTGTGACAATTTGTTCCTACATATTTGATGTATGTGTTATCTGTTCATTAAAACCAAGAAGATAAGAATTAAAGTTCAGCTGTAACAACAAATTGCTTCCATTTATAATTTTTTATCAATCTACTTGACCAGCATTTTTTTTTGAGGGGCTATGACATGTCAAGGGTCCCTCAAGAGACCCACGGTGAACAAGACAGGTGCCACGGGGCTCTGAAACAGGACACGCAGGACGGGGTAAAGAGTCAGGACGAAGTAGGCCGCGCTGAGCGGCATTCGGAGCAGAAGGGAATATTGAGACGCAGATCTTTCCTGGAGGCAGGGATTTTTGTTACTGTTCCCTTGGAGTGGCGAGAGCAGACGGGGAGAGAGGACTTGGGGTAAAGGAGGATTTGTTAGAAAAAATAATCTGGTTATTTACTTGTAGTTTATTTAGGCAAAGAGACCTTAAAAAGGCTTTGAGCACGGTGGCTGAAGTTTCTGCAAAGATTAACTGGCCTTCTTTAAAGGGGCATTAGTGTTCTTTTATACAGGTGTCTGAAAGCTCAAAACCGGGCGCCCATTAGAACCCTCTGCTGGTCTGTAGATTTCCCTAAGACACAATGCTGACATCAGGGACTCTTTCCTCTCTCCCTCTCTCTCTCCCCCTCTCCCTTTCCCTTCTTCCCTCCCTCCTTCTTTTCCCAGCCCTCCCTCCCTCCGCCCAGTCTCTTCCAATCTCTTTCTCTCTCTCTCCAGTTCCTTCAGGTAAATCCTACTCAAACTTGTACCAACTCGTTTTTGACTGACAGGGAACAGAGAGAGTTTTCTTCATTCTGAGGGAACCTCAACACCTATTTCTCCCAAGGCGACCTGCAGGGACGGATCCTTCCTTCACCCCGACAGAAGCGCACCCCCAGCCAGAAGCCAGCCTCCTCGCCCGGCAGGTAAGAGGCTCTCCCGTGCCGAGCTGGAGCCGGCGGTGTGCGGGAGATATTTCTGAAATGCTTCTCTCTCAAGGTACAAGGCAAAAGTGTGATTCTTTTCAAATCACTGAAATCATTCAGGACGTCCCAGCTTATCTGGGGGAATTTACAAATGCTGTTTGCATGTGGAAAACGGGTTTTTACTTAATGATGGGGCAGGAAAAAAAGAAGTGCTTTATTCTTGCCTGTGAAACACTATCCAGATGTTGTCTTTTTTTTTTTTCCTAGGGGTAAGTGATCTAGATCAAGGGGGAAGAACGGCTCGGACTTCTCTGTCCAACTGTTGTTCTCTCCTGCTGTCCGCCAGGGAGAGTTTGTTACTGATTTTCAGGGATGGTCTAGTTCTTTGGGTCTTTCCTGGTGCTGCTTTTTCCTTGGTTGGAAGAGAAATCAGCTTAGGTTGCTGTAGGGCAAAACCTTACCGGAATATTTAAGAATCTGCTACCTATCCTTACGAGAAAAAGTTATGTAAGTTTTCCATGGTAGGTATAAGGAATGTAAACAATCCTGACTTTGAGGACACGAGGAACCTTGTTCATAACCCCTGGATAATGCACTTTGTAATCTGTGTGTACTTTCATGTGCCTTCAGACTAGTCTCAGCTAATAAATGTCACACAGGGTGAAATTTCCATACCGCTCCTGTGAAACTAGTTTTTTTTTTTTTTTTTAATCTCCTCTCTGCACTTCCGCATTTAGCTGCCTGTAGGAAATAAGAATTCGTTGTTCAATGGATGTTTCGTGACCTCACAATCACTTTAAGTCACAGGTTCAGAAACTTAGAACAAATGCAGTATTTAACTCGGGAAAATTAAAGACTAAACTTTGTCACACTCAATCCCAACTCTAAGATTTATTTCTTCTTATCAGAAAATACCTTAATCTTTTTTTCTATTGACCTAAAGGAAGGACTTTGAAAGAAAACATTAAAAGTGATTCTTAAAGTAATTTTTTTGAAAACTGAAAATCACACTCACACAATCAGTTATTACCCTGGATCCTACCCGAATTTGTCTGCCCTGGTAAATGTTTAAACAAATATGTAATGATCAACAATAGCCTTAGGTGAAAACTTCTTCCAATTTAAAATTGTTTAAGTATCAAAAGAATAGAGTCGAATGCCACTGAAGTGCCTTTTTAAATGCCATCCTTTTATGAAAACTAGGTCTCAGGAGAGTTGTATTTAAAAAACACAGCACTCACCTCACACACAGCGCCTGGGGCTGCTCTTTCTTGGGCTGGGTTTTTTTTTTTTTATCGGGTTTCCTCCTTCCCTAGTTGTGAATACGGAGCAGCGACCCAGAGGTCGTGTGGCAAGTCCTCACCAGAGGTTGGGAAGTGGAAGACTTTAAGCAAATTGCCCCGAGTCCTATCCTGGAAATGTCCACGAAACAACAGAACAGCCATCTCCACCCTGAGTTCAATGCATGCACAAGCTGGGGGTTTTATAGAAATAGACGTAGCAGAAATTTGTGACCCTGGCTGCTTAAGGAAAACACATTTTTAAAGCCTCCTCCCACCGTCCCACCACTCTTGCCTTCCCCAACAGTTGTGGTCATTTTATACAAAGTGCTATTTCCCCAATTTCCTCCCTTTGCACTTATAACCAGCGCAGACAGCCCTGGGCTGGGGGACAGAGGGGGCGCGAGCCCCCAGCCGCCCTGCCCCGGCGGCCGGCCCGGGGCGGCCAACAAAAGCAGGGCTGCTGGCTGCTTCACACGGAGCTCAGACAGGCTTGCAAAGGGGAGCCTGGAAAGGCTGCTCTCTCTTGTCCTGGGTGGGGGGAGGGTGGTGTGTGTAATTACACACCTGAATGACAACGACATGCTTGGTGCAAGGAAAACCACCAATATGTGGCTTTAGGCACTGAATACAGGCAAACGTTTTGGGACTTCATCAGTAAATGTCAAGCACTTGAAATATTCTTTCCTGCCTCACCCCCTCTCATCGGCGAGAGGCAGGAGCGGTGGCTGACTTCCTCCCACACGTGGCGGCGGCGGCCAGAGGTGTTTGCAGCCTTGCCTGGTGGACCCAGCAGAGCCTCAGAGCCAGCGCCCCGTCCACGGCGGGAGCCGCCAGCCCAAGCCCGGACAGCTGCTGAGGCCAGGCCCCTGGGAATGATTGTTTAAGGCGTAGAACCCTCCCTAATCATTTCCTTCCGTCTTTCATTTATAAGTAATTCAGCTACTGTCTTTTCCCCACAACAATTCAAGCACTTGCCACTGGAGTCAATTGGTATCTTCAAATGTGTTGTTTTCATTCTTCTCTGAAGTAAAAATAACGCTACTCCAAAAACAGTCAGGAAGCCATGGCAAAGGTGGCTGTTAGCTTCTGTGCTTGCAAAGGGAGTGTGGGCTTCGTAAGGGGTGCGGGCGGGAGGCAGGTCAGGCAGAGGTTATTACCCATCCTTCCCCCTCGCCTGCCTCTCGTCTTCACCTGGGACAGCCCTTTGGGGAGTGGGGCGTCCGGTGCCTTGGTCGGGGGGCGCAGAGCTGAGTACCCGATGGCAGAGGAGCAACACGAACCAAGGCACATTCGCTGGCCCTGCCCCTCAAGGATGCCATGCTATTGAAGGGGGAAGATCTGACCTAACTCACCTGGCTCTCTGCTGCCACCCAGGTAGCTTCCCAGGGCCAGTGTCAGACAGAGGAGGACTTGTGACCGACGTGAGCAGCCTCAGCGATGTCATACCCTCCCACAGGACGGGCACCAAGGGAAGATTTCCCCCATCCCCTCCGCCCCCGCCTTGAGAAGGAGAACAGAGGGCATACGGGGAGAGAAAATAACATATAATCTTAAAAATAAGGTTCTGGGAAAGAAGTTTTTATTTGCTAAGTGTTCCATGGTGGAGATGGAAGAAAAAAAGATGAGCAAATAGACATCTCCGGTAAAAGACAAGTCAAGGAAGTAGTTATCTGAGAAAGCTCTGCAGAATGGTCTGCGGGTTCATTTCCACGCAGGGTAACACGGCCGGAGTCCACACAGACATTCTTGTTGTATCCCCAGGGCGTTTTAGCCAAAAACGGTGCTGCTCATTCCATGAAGAAACGTCGGGGCCCGCGAGGCGCCTGCGTGCCCGCGTTCGCTTCCCTGACGGTCATGCCGTCCACAGTCACTGCCATCTGATGGGACGCGGCGGTTCGCAGGCAGCCTCATTCCCGAGCGCAGCCCCTGCTGCTGGAACGAAAAGTTTCTGGCATGAAGTGCCAGGTATTTTAGTGGTGAACAGAGATGAGCCAGAGCTGCCTGATAATCACGCTCACCGCACCTGGAGATGCACAGGAAGGGGAACAAGGTGCGGGTTTTTGGTGCGGACCCACTTGTCGCAGGAAGCGATGACATAGAGGAGCATGTCTCTGCTGCCTGGGGACAGAGGCCCTGGAGGAAATGTAGGGAAGAATGAGCAACAGAATAAGTTCTGTGTTGTTTTGCCCCAAGACCCCCCGCGACTCAAATTCAGAGCATCTAGATGTGGAGGATCCACGTCGAACAAGCTGGCAGCCCTTCCCTCGGGGGATGGGCAACAGCCCCAGAGCCAAGGTGGCCTCTCACACCCTCACCCAGGGTTCCGAGTTCAGGGAGATGACGTCCTGGGCCCGGCCGTGTCCCTGGGCCGACGAATCCCATTAGTCCTCAGAGTCAAGTGGGGTCATCCGAGGACAAAAGGGCAGGTCAGAGGAGAAAAAGGCGGGTGGGCATCCGATTCTCAGGGGGTGTTGGGGACCCAAGGAGCTGGGCTTGGGTGTCAGTCCACATCCTGCTTTGGTGGAAGTTGCCCTGGATTCCGGGCTGAAATTCTCGCGTATTTCTCAGTGCCGGCACCACAGCCTGACCAAGGTTTTATGGAGCTCGAAGATTATATAATTTGGGAGCTCTCCTCAAAGGAAAATGAGTGAAAAATCATGACTGTAAAATTAAGCACAAAGCTTTGGAGGAGGTTGGTGTACACAGGAACCCATGCGGCGTGAGTGCATTCCCTCTACAATAAGTCCACTCTGTGCTGTACCTGCCTGGTTCTTGAAGGAACGATTGAATTAATGTATATCCATTTTAGCTGCTTACTGCTCTCTGAGTGACTCTGAGAAATGACAAGTAAATATACCCAATAATCATGCTTATCCGTAGTGAATGACCAGTGAGTGATATACATGGGAAATTGATCTGGGCGATATCGAGAACGTTTTTCATTTCGTGGGTACGTTGCCAGGAAAGGTAAATTTTTTTTCCTGCACGTGGCTGAGCTTTTCGGTCCTAACAATGCCTCAGGGTAAGATACTAAGAAATCTGTTTTTCCTGCAGCTGGGGAGGTGGGTACTAAAATGAATGGTACACTTTTAGCATTTGAAAAGCCCCAAGTTAAAACCCAAAGGACAAGTGCTAGTTATGAGTCTAGAACTTAGAAGGATATTAAATGCGTGAGGAATATGCTTCTCTTTTAACTTGGAGATCTGCCCCAGGAAAATATCTGTGTCTCTGACAAGAAACAGCCTCTTCTTCCTCAGTTTCCACTAATGCTCTTTCCAGTTCTGAGAGCAGTTAACAGTGCCCTTTCTCAGTCAGAATGCTTGCTAACTTCATGCCTACCGGGCCTCATATTGCACTCACTCAGTCATGTTTACATCTTCAAATATTTGCAGATTGCTATCTTGCTCCATCCCCGTCCTGTTTGCCAAAGAACACAAGGTCGGTTCTCCGAATCTAGCTTTCTGACTTCCTGAGTAACCCCTGGTGTCTGTTTCTACCCCTTGAGAGTCCAGTGGAAGTTTACCTTTTGCTGTGAAACCTCGTGCAGTTTGGCATTATCTGCACTGTTCTGAACAACCCCACCCTCACATACCTGCTAGTAGTTACAGAAAATACGAGAGCGCAGGAGCACCTGACTCCTTTGTTTAGAATTGTCTGAATACTAAGGCACAAGGGCCTGCCCTGACTCCTTTATATTTTCAAAAATCCAGGGAAAGA